CAGGAAGCTCCCGCCAGCCCCTCGAGGGGGCAGCTCAGAGCCCACCCACAGCCCACCCTCCATCCCCACTGCAGTCATCGGTCACCGCCACCGCCCTGGGGGGCTTGGTCCTTCCCTCGCTCCCTGGGGGGGGCGGGGTTACATGTAGGGCCACAGCAGCCAGGCCGCCTCAGGCCAGGTGTCAGGCACTGTCTCCTGCCAGCTTCCCCCAAGTCCCCCAGGCTCTGGAGGAGGGGAGCTGACTCAGGCACCCCATCTGCAGGGCAAGGGCAGGAGGCAGCAGCCTGAGGACTCAAGACCAGGTGACTGGGCGGATGCAGCAGCACCAGCGGGCGGGGCAGGCCCAGGATGGACGGGGCAGCGGGCCCAGCAGGGCCCCGCCCTGCCTCTAACGCACGCCCTGGCTGGAGACAAAGCCACATGCTGCCTGCCTAGCGGCGACCAGAGCCCAGCAGGTGCCTCTGGGTTTGAAGAGCCCGGGGGGGTGGGCGGGGGGAGCTGAGGTTCTCTTTCAGCACTGCACGGGAGGGGACCCAGGACCTGCTGCTGTCCAGGAAGAGGCCGCCGGCAGCTGCCCAAGCGCCTCCTACGCTGCAGTCCCCAGGGCCACAGAACCTCCCGTCCACGGCAGACCCTTCTCCGCCGTCCCCGCCCGGGATGCCATGGTCACGCGGGCAGCGGGCCCTCTGACAGACCAGGGGCCGGGGTAAGCCATGTGTGTCCCAGCCATGGGGTGACGCAGGGCGCTGCTACGAGCAAGCGTCCTCCAGCAGCTATGTCCAGCGTGGGCAGGCCTGCCTCCTCCCCGCACTGCCCGCAGGCCCACTGAATGGCCAAGCCGCTGCCCACGGCGGCCTCCCGCCCATCAAAGGCCCCCCCCCCCGCCCCGGGACGGACGCGCAGCAGGTCTCTCACGCTGGCCAGGGCACGGCCCAGGCCCCTCCCAACACAGCTGTGGCCTCTGGAAGGAGGACAGGTGTCCCGCCTGCTTCCCAGGGGTGGGCACCACAGGTGGGACCCTGAGGGGAGGGCCAGCGCCCCCCCCCCCGTCCCTGGCCCCAGAGGAGCCGGAGTCTCCGGGGCTCCTAAGCTTTGCGCAGCCACCCTCCCCCAGCCATTGTCCAGGAACGTGCTGTTTCAAGCAAAAAACTTCCTAAAAATTGTACAGTTTGGTAACGAGTATTGGATCTGCTTTAACTCTAGTCTCCTCTGCCCTCCCCCAGGAGCTGAGAGACCCAGAGCACTCCCCACAACTGCCGTGCAGCGGGAGGGCCACGGCCGCCCGGACGCCCTGCCACCACGCCGCAGTGGTCTTCCACAGAGGAGCCGTGGAGTGAAAAGTGCCCGAGGGCTGTCCTGTAGGCAGGCGGGGAGACAGCTGGGCACAGAGGCCCCGGGTGAGCTGCCGGGGCTCCCGGAGCGCTGCGCCTCGTGTGGCCGAGGGCCAGGCTCACCCTCACGGCAGCGGAGGGGGCTGTGGACAAGGCCGGCTCTTCAGCCCGAGCCCCCAACACATCGGGAGGCCCCTCTCGGCCCCACGGATGCCCCGAGCCCAGGCACCAGGCAGAGGACGCGCTGGGAGCCCGGGCGCCAGGAAACCAGCCTTTCTCCGGATGCCTGCGGCCTGGGCACCGACTCCCCTGCTGCCAAGAGCCCCCAGGAGCAGCCTGGAAGGGCGGAGAGGAGAAGCTCCTCTCTAAGACCTGTACGTCTGAGGTTCACCCCCGCCATAACCCACATCTGCCAAGCACCCCCTCAAATCCACGCTTCTCCTCACTACAACAAGCAAACGCCAGCCGAACACTGGTGTTGTCAGTACGAGACCCGTGTCCTCCATGCTCCCTCCCCAGAGAGAAAGCAAATCCACAAGGCAGGTGGGGACAAGCCCTTCCCCCACCCGGACCCTAGAGCTCCTCAGGCCCAGAGCCTCCTTGGTGAGAGCCCAGACCTTCAGCGGCCTCACCCTGGAGCCCCAGAACCTCAGCGCCGGCCAGATTCAGGGCCAAGCCCCTCTGGGCCAGGGGTCAGGCTCAAGAAGACCTAGGTCAGGCCCAGCCGCGGGCAACACCCTGGAGCAAGGGTACAGGAGCCACTGGGCCTCGGCCTGAGTCGGAGGGGCCTGGAGGAGGGGACAGGCCATCCTCGGGGTGAGTGGAGCCTTGGGTCCGAGGCCCTCAGTGACCGAGGCCTCCCCGTGCAGGGACAGAACGGGCTCCGAGGCCCTGGGCGCCTGGCCCAAGGGGCTCTGGGGGTGGGGGAAGAGAGGACGCCCACCTGGGGTGGGGGGGCCTGGCTCTCGTGTCTGGGAGCACCGAGGACCGGGCCTCCCACGAGGAAGCGCCGCACCTGCTGGACCCCACGGGCGCAGCCTGCAGAGCGGAGCCGGCACGGAGGACGGCCCCGGTCAGACGGCCCACAGGGTCTGGACGCGCCGTCACCCCGACTGGGGGCAGGGGCTCACCGAGCTCTCGGTCGGGCAGAGGAAGGGAAAGAAACATCTTAAAAATAGCTAGAGCCTGGTGAGTCCTCCCAGGTGCCCGGCACGGTTCCAAGCTCCCGCTGGCCTGTGCCCCCTGCTCCCGAAACCGCGGTGAGGCGGGCCTGGCGTCGCTCCAGGGGGGAGAGCGGAGACGGCCCGGCCCTGGAAGTCAAGGTTACCACCTGCGCTGGAGGGCAGGCGGCCCAGGGAACTCAGGAAGTGGGTTTTCAGTTCCACCGAATTACCTAGAATTCTGCACTAGGAATCCCCTCCCCCACGGCACAACCCTCCCTCCCACTTGCATAATGGGCTCGGAGAGGTGTTTGGGGGCAGGGCAAGAGCCAATCAGATAATGAATCTTTGCTGCTCAAAGTGGTTTCAAAACGCTTCCTTCCGTGGTTGAGGCAGAACCAGCCCCGGGGCAGGTGCCGAGTCCAAGGTCAGCCAAGACGCAGCGGCCCTCGCGCCTCGGCGGCAGGGCAGGCCCGTGAGGACGCAGGCTCCAGGGCCAGGCCCACGCGGGGAGCGGGGCTGAGAGCTACACAGGCTGCGCGGACGGCCGCGGGGCCCCACGCGAGCCCCTGGGGAGCGCGTGTCCGTCCGCTGGGCACCGCCCGGCCTCGCCGCAGCCCTGCGGGCAGGGGCAGCCCCCGGCCACAGCCCCGGACCCCTCCATCACGACTCAGCCGAGGCCGGGGAGAAAACGGAGCCCCTCATCCTCGTTCTGAAGGGCTGGGAAATGGCTTTTGCTTTTCAACATGAAATGTGCCTAAAAATAAGCTGTGAATTTCAACCAGAGGCTGAAAATAGCTCTGGCGGCGAACACGGCTCTCCTCGGAGTGGGCTCAAGGGCCGCCTCCTCCTGAGACGCGGGGCTCCATGCCACACCCAGGGCCAGGTCTGGGCAGGGGTCTCCAGGGTGGAGGGGCCGCCTCGGGTTCACAGGCTGCCCTGCCCTGCCCTGCCCTGCCCCGTGGCTTCCGACTGCCGCAATCTAACTGCCCCACGGTCAGGAATTCAAGGCCCAGCACCTGGCCCAGCGGGCTTCCTACAGCCCCCGAGTGCCCAGGCATGATGCACGCAGCTCCGAGGCCGGGGCCGGGGCCCAGTGCGCCCGCAGGGCTGGGGTCAGGTCCCAGGCCGAGAGCTCGTGGGCACAGCGGTGGCGCTCGTGGGCTCTCGGAGAAGCGGGCCCGTGGCCCGCCTCCAGACCGCCCACTAGGTGCAACCCCGGCACCAGGCAGGCCCACGGGGGCAGGGCAAGCGTCCTCTCCTGTGTAAGGGACCAACGCCGAGTTCTAAAGGTCTCTTCCTGTTACTTAGTATCACCCCTGGAAGGCTCCGCGGGCTGAGCAGCCAGACGTTTGTACAAACTGGGCCTGTGTTAGAAACCCAGGCTTGGGGTGGGGGGGTCCGTGCCGGGAACCACACGGTCAGGGCCCGGACCCCAGAGCCCCCGCGCCACCGCAGGGCCGGGCTGCGGCCTGAAGGCAGCATGGGGGTGCACGGCTGTCCCCAGCCCTCGGGCGTCCGCCCGCCGCGCCCGCCCTGCCCTGTCCCGCAGCTCCCCCACCCACAGGCCTCTCCCTGGACGGTGAGGCCCACGGCTCGGGAGAGCAGGTGCCCCCCTGCACCCGGAGCCGGAGCCAGGACCGAAGGGATGAGAGGCAGCGTGTCCAGTAAGTCCCCCAATCCTCTGGGAACAGGAGCCCAGGGCCCCGTACTGGGGGGCACCAACCTTCCCAAGATCCCGGCAGCACCACCCCTGGGAGGGGGAAGGGGAGGGGAGCGTGGGGGGGAGGGTCCCTCTGCTCCAGCTTCCCGGTTCTATTCCCGGCCGGCCTTGGCCCGCGGGAGCCTCGGGCAAGAGGCTTCCTGTTGCCCGGGCGTTTCCGGGCGTGCGAGAGGCCCCGCTCCCTCCGAGGCCCGGGGGTGGTGGTGGGGGGGAGGCCTGCAGAGCCTGCAGCCTCTGGGACCTGGGACCCGCGGGCTCCACGGCCTCGGCTTTAACGGTGAGCCCCGCCGAAGCCCAGCGCGACCTCCCAGGCACCCGTTTCCCCCACGTGTTTGTCGGAAACGCCGTTAACTGGGTGCGTCCAGGAGCACCGAACGCGCCCTCCCGCCGACAGAAGCACCAGAGGTGGTTTGCGGCAAGGCACTTCCCCTCATGGTGAAAGCGGAGGAAGCGAGAGCGCTGGGGCGGCCTGCGCCGACCAGCTGCGGCTTCAGCGCGGGCCCTCCAGGAACCGGGCGGGCCTGGGCCCTGCAGGGAGCGCACGGGTGGCGGCCGGAGCCCGCCCACCCTGACGGCCTCCACGCGTCCTGCCTGTCCACGGCAGACGTGAAGCGAAGTGGCACCACCAGGGCCAGAGGGTCGTTTGCTGAGTGACAGGGTCTTACTAGGGGCCCCTCCCTGTGACCAGCCTCAGCCTCCAACCCCCGCCGCCCCCGAGCCCGGTGCTGGCCACTGGGACCCAGGCCGCCGGCCCCCAGCCTCCGACAGCCCGGCCAGGCTACTCACCAGACGCCGGGAAGAGCTGGCCAGCGTGGCTGGTGGCCTCTGCGCTTTCGGGGCATCTCCATAATCCAGGACATCGAAGTTGCTCTTCCAGACCATCACCTTCGAGACCAACGGGCACTCAGAATTAGGGAGAAGCCCCCCAGTCCTTCATGGGGAAAATGGGCCGGGCCAGGACAGTAGCCCCGGCCTGACACCCCAACCCGGCTCTGGGACCCGCCCCTCCTCCCCGGGGAGCAGGCTTTTCCCCTGGCTGCGCCCCGGCAGGCTCTCGCACTCGGGGGCCTCTCCTGCCTGGACTGTCCCTGGGCCGCTCCGTGGGGCGGGGTCCCCAGGCTGAAGCGTCCGCGTCGACTCCACCTCTCAGAGGGCCCCCCCGGCCCCCGCCCGGCAGCTCCCTCGGGGCACTGGGGCCGCGGGGCACCGCTTCTCCGTCCCCTTTCCCCGTTTGTCACGACCCCCCACGAAAACGAGGGCTCCCGCGGGCAGCAGCCGGCCCGTCGCGCTGCGAGGGGCCGTCCACACACGGACTCCGGCCCAGACCGCCGGCGTGAGGATCCCCACTCCAGCCCCGGCCCCGGCCTCAGAGCCGCGAGTCCCGGCACCAAGGGGAGAGACACTCTGGACGCCCCCCAGGTCAGGATCTGCAGCACCTGAGGCCTCCCAGGGGCCAGGCCGTCGGTGCTTGGCCGTCTGGGCAGGGGCCCCAGGGCCTCCGCCCACAGGACGACCAAGCAGGACCGGCGTCCTCGCATGGCGCTCTGGGCCGGGGAGCTGGGACACGCCGGCCCCTCGACAGCCCACAGGCAGCCGGGGGCAGAGGGCGGCGGCTGAGACTCAGTCCCCCCCGCACAGGGTGGGCGACCGGGGCCTGCCCCCAGGGCTGCCGTGCAGACAGAGGCAGAGCCCCGGCCACACAGCCCACCCCACCAGGCCTGCTGTCGGTGTCCAGTAACCCTCTGAGCGAGCCTTCATCGGGGGGGGGGGGTGCCACTGAAGACCAGCAGCCCAGGCCCCGCCATCCCCCGCCCCGGCGTGGGCAGGGAGGGTGTCATGCCTCGGCCACCGGGTTGGCACCTGCCCCGGCGAGACTAGGGCCCCGGTTTGAGCACCCCACCCGGCTGCGGCCTCCTGGCCCCCCACCCATCCTGGGCAGCCTCGGCAGAGACCCCTGGACCGCCCTCACTCACTTGCTCATCGGAGCCTCCAGAGGCGAAGTACTCCCCCGTCCTCGAAAAGGCAACGGTGGTGGCGGGGCCCTGCAGGACAAACGGGACAGAGCAAACACCCACGGTCACTCTAGATCCTGAAGCGCGCGGGGACAGACCTGGGGCTGGTGGACGCGGCCACGGGGAAGAGGACTGAGGGCCTCCCTCAGCCCACGGCCCTCCCCAGCCCACGCGGGGGGACCTGCGGGTGCGCAGGTGTGCATGTTGGCCACCCCAAGACCTTGACAGGCCCTCAAGCACCAGCGACGGGACCACGGCCGGGCTGGGGGGCTGTGGGTGGGCAGAGGGAACTGAGCAGCCCTGGCAGGCCAGCACCTCTGCCCCCCTTCCCAAGGGGGCCAGAGAGGCACGCCAGCTCACCCGAGACCTCGTGTCGAGACCAGGACTCGGCCCTCCGAGGAAGCCATGCCCGCCCACACCAGCCTGCAGCCGACCGGACAAGTGCCGGGCCCCGAGGACGAGCCAGGTGGCAGGTGCAGCAGGGCGCCCCAGACGACCCCAGAGGCCAGCACCGGGGCCAGAGGGGGGCTGGGGCAGGGTCACCAAAGGAGCAACAGGACACCCCACCCGGGGGGGGCGGGGGTGCCCGTTCTGGCTCCCAGGTGCTGAGGGTCCCACCTGAGCGGCCAGGCCTGAGCAGCACCCCGGGGTGGGGCAGCATCTCCCAGCGGAGAGAGGGGGCTGTTTGCCACACGCGTGAGGGCTGCTCGGGGAGACAGTGTGTTCAGCCCACACCGTCTCCCCCCACCGAGCTCCGCAGAGGCACGCTTGCTGGGCAGGGGGGAGCTGTCCACCCACACTGCTGGGATCTGCCCAGGGCTCCTCTCCACGGTGCCCATGGCGGGGGGTGCGGGAGAGAAGCTAGGCTCAAGGCCAGCTAACCCCAAGTGCTGGGCCTGGCTTGGAGCCCCTCGCCTGCACTGACCCCTAGTCCTGGGGATGGTCTGTGCACTCACGCTCCCTCGGGGGCAGCGACACCGCCTCCTGCTGTGTCCGTCAGGAATCACAGCCAGGAGTCACAGCCAGGAGTCACAGCAGCCGGCAGTCTTGCCCGGCTCCCCATGGGACGAAGGGGCCCCGTCGTTCCCGGTGGGACCCCGGTGCAGTCGGCGCGGTGTGAAACGCTGGGGCACAGCAGCAGCACCAGGGCCCGGGTGTGGGCTGGGGCAGGTTGAGCGTCGCTCGGAGGCCCCTGTAGGTGACAGTGCCCGAGGGCTGCGAGGTTAACGAGACCGACGGGACGGGCGTGGGTGCGCGTGCCCGGCCTCAGGCGATTTCCACTGGGCTCTGGGCAACCTCTGCAATCCCCCATACTTTGAGTTTTCAACAACATGTGGCTCTGCTACATTAACATAAAAACAAAATGACAAAGCTTACTCTCCTTCTGAGGAAAAACAAAGGGAAGAAAGAAAAGGGAAGGAAACCAGCACACAGAGCGCCCCAGACGCTGGGCGCGCTCTGCCTGCCCGGAGCGGGCCTGGGGTGGCAGGCTTCCAAGAAGTCACAGTCACCTTTCCCGTCGTCACCCAGCCCCCAGATGCCAGACCGGGGGACGGGATGCTGGGAGCCCAGCAAGGGCGGCTGCAGCGGCCAGCAGCCCCAGGCTCTGCAGGCCGCGGGCACCAGGAGGCAGGGGCTGGGAGCTCTGCGGGCAGGAAGCGCTAGAAGCCCGCCCCGGCCCAGCTGCCGGGAGACTCCGGGAGGGAGCTGCAGGGGAGCCCCAAGGCGGGAGGCCTGCAGTCCCCGCCACAGACCCCGCCACAGCGCCCGTGCACCCCCGTGCACTGGGGGCCTCGGGGCTGCTGGAAAGAGGCGCCTCCTCGGGATACTGCCCGCCCATCTGCGTGCGTGCCCGTCAGGGGCCCCTCAGGTGTGCCGACCACAGCACAGGGGCTGCGTGGCCTTAGGGCGACCGCCCAGGCCCGCTCCCCCGGCCCCTCCCAGCACTCCGGAGCCCCGTGGGCCACCCGCTGCTCAGACACCCTGCTGGGGCTCCTCCTCCTCCTCCGCCTTCCTCCTGAGCCTCCCGAATTCAGCTCTTCACCAGGTTATTTTCAGTCCTTCTTGGTTTTAAATAAATTCGCTTAAGGCTGTAAATTTGGCTCTGATTAGCATCTTAGCTAGATTCCAAAAGTTTCCAGTGCACAGTGCTTTCCAGGCCATTCCCCTTCGGGCGGTCGGCCCCCCCTCCGCGCTGAGGTCCCCGTCACTCAGCCAGCAGTGACCGCGGCGGGCGGTCCGGTTTCCAGACCGAGGGGCTCAGGCGTCCCTCCCACCACCGACGGTGGTCAGACAGAACACACTCGCTTTCTGAGACCGTTCCGCCCTCTGCTGGCCTATTCGCTTCTGTTCGTCACTCGTGATGAGGTCGTCCACCGGCTGGTGCGCTCGCCGCTCCTGAGGGTCCCTGCAGCTCCCGGCGGGGCCTCCAGCAGCCTGGAGCCCATCCGCCCCTGACTGCCGTAGGCACTCACCTGTCTGGGTTCTGGTCCCCACCCAGGCCCCGCCACCGCCTGTCCAGAGAGAGGGTCCTGCCCGATCCTCACGAGAGCTGGGCGAAGCCCGGCTCCACCTCCTCGCCCTCCTGACCCCTGCCCCACCCGCCCTGGAGCTTGGGGGACCTTGGGGGACCGGCGCTCAGCCGTTTCACCACACGGCCCCCCCGCCACGCCAGCCTCCAGACCAAGGGGCCCACGGTAACTAGTTCCTTCCCTCTCCCACGACAAAGCATTGGTAGAGGGAATGCTACAAAGGCGAGCCACAGGGGCCCACGCTGTTCAGCTCCCGTAGCTCTTGGTGACCCTGCAGCCCTGCAGCTCGTCCAGACCTCTCCACTCCACCCCCCCGCCCCCCGCCTGACTCCCCTGCAGGCCTGAACGCTGACCCTCGTGCCCACAACAGCTGCTCGGGCAAAAGCCCAGCCAGGTCCCCCCACCCACCACCATGGGGGAAGGGTTTTGAAGTTTTCTGGTGGCTGCCATCGAACCAACAGGAACGCCCCCCACGTGCCCCAGTCACAGGCAGGAGGACAGCTGCACCCGGCGAGGCCCGCGGGGCCTCTGGAGCTGGCACTCTGGTCTCCCGCCTGCACTCCGGCCGCTGCTTCTACAGACCTGGGGGGAGGGGGGGGGCGGGGCGCTCCTGTACTCTCCCGCCAGCCTCTGCCGTGGGCTGGTGTGTGTCCCGGGGAAGGCCAGGGGTGAGGACCTCAGGGAGGGGCTGCTGCCCAGGAAGGCAGGGGCTCTCTGCTGACCACGGCTCAGGACACCCGCCCCCGGCCTCCCACTGGGGGCCGCAGGCAGGGGTCAGCGGGCTGGACACACAGCTGGGGCGCTCAGGTGGAGGCAAGTGTGTTCTTACCCACCTTGAGGTCCGCTCCCCTCTCTGGGAGGTGCCCCACTGCCCAGGCCAGGAGTCTGGCTCCCCTTCCCCAGAGCGGCCCGAGGGGCAGCCCGCAGGCCCCCGGCTCCCTGCCGGCTGAGGCCCCCCCCGGCCTCCGTCCCGGCCCCAGCGGGGGCCCAGCCTGAAACGAGCCCCCAGGCTCCGGCAGCCCAGCGCTGGCTGCGTGCCCACGCCCGGGTTGGCTGGGGCGGCACCAGGGGCCGTGTGCCGCCTCTTGCCACCCGGGGCTCCACGGCGACACGAACACCCACTGCACAGCCGCGAACACCGGATTTAGCTCCCACCCCCGGCCCGCCCACCCCCTCTCCCAAGCAGCTCTGGGACGTACACCAAGTGAGCACGGCTTGAGATGTTTCAGGAAACACCGAGAAACAGAGCTCTGTTTCAGCACGCTGCCGCACGCTCACCGCACAGGGCTGCGGGCCTGCTCAGGCGCGAGGCTTTGGGCGAGGGCGGAGGCTGGTGGGAAGGCCTTCCCTCTCCGCCCCCCCGCCTCATCGGGGCTCCCGTGCGGTCCGACACCCCCACCCCGCCCGAGCCCAGGGACTCCCAAAGGCACGCACAGGAAGACCCCCCCTGCTTGTGCCGCTGAGTCTCCACGGCCGCGTGTCTGCAGAGCCCCGAGGCAGGTCAGCGCACGGGTTCCAGGGCTCCGCTCGGGGGGCCAAGGGATGCCCGAGGTCACGAGGGGACAGTCAGCACTGAGCCCAGGGGAAGTCCAACAACCGCGTCCAGGTGCCTCCCCGCCCTCACCCCCAACTGAACTCCCACGGCCCCTTCTCCACTGCGGGGCCAGGCCCAGCACCCCGGCACAGACCTGTCTCTGCGGCTCGCCCCGTGGCCCAGGCAGGGAGGGGCCCCAGGGACCCAGCCCACCTGGGCCCGACCTGCCCCTCCCTGCCGCATTGGCCGACGCCCTCACCTGGTGCCCGTGGAGCGTGTAGAGCAGCCGGCCCTCCATGAGGTCCAGGATCTTCAGGGTGGAGTCGCTGGAGGCCGTGGCCAGGTAGTTCCCCGACGGGTGGAAGGAGAGGGCGTTCACCGCCGCGCTGTGCACTGGGGAAGGGACACCGTCAGGCCCGGGCTGGGAGGCCCGGGCGCCTCTGCAGCCTGGGGAGGAGCCGTCGGGGCCGACCGAGGCCAGGCTGGGGCAGCCACCGCTCAGAGGGGCTGTGAGGACCCCACAGGGGTTGCCCAGGACAGCGGTGCCATCCACGGGCAAGAGGAGACTCATCTGGGCAGAGGGCAGAGGGCAGAGGGCATAGGGCAGAGGGCAGGCAGTGGGAGGTGCAGGGCGATGGAGGCCTGCAGCTGGCCAGAGAGACAGTGACTCCCCTGACCCTGAGCCACCACACAGGGCAGAGCAGGGCGTTGCAACATGACACTGTCTCCCACGCGGCCCTGGAAACGCCCCCGATGCCTCCGCCCTGGAGGAGGGGTGTGGGGGCAGTGAGCAGACAGGTCGGGCCGGGTTCCTGGCCCGGCCCCCCACCAGCCCACCCTGTGGCCTGAGCCAGCACCCAGCACCCTGAGCCTGTGTCCTCCACCACGGCGCCCACGAGTTAGGGGTGCTGTGGGGATGCTGCCCGGTCAAGCCCGGCGGAGCGCTGCAGAGGGGCCTCCGACGTCCCTCTCCCTGCCCGAGACGTGCCCTGCAACTGCCAGTCCCGCCGTGTCCCCCTCAGCAGCTCCACCCTGGCCACTGCCCGCTCCTCCCCCTTTCCCAGCCCAACCCCTGCCAGCCGTCCCGGCGTCCCTGGCTCTCCAAGACCCGGCCACCCAGCCCCGTCGGCTCCGTAGCTGTGGGACTTCCACCCCTTGTTCTCCGCGGGTGGGCGAGACTTGCCCACCTCTCGCCCGACCCTGAAGTCCCTTGTGCAGTCACCTCCTCGGGCGAGCCTCCCTCGACCCCCTGTCCGGGCCACCCCCCTGGCTGGTCTCCAGCCAGTGCCCTCTTCATGGAGGCCGCTGGACTCAGACCGGGCGCCCGAGACCACGTGCCCCGCCAGGCAGGGGCTGCGCGGAGCCCTCCGCTCCCAGCTCCGTGCCCGGCTCGGGTGGGGCTCAGGACTCGGGCGAGTGGGGCCCGGGCGGGCTGCATGGGGACGGTGACCTGTGGACCAGCAACACCACAGCTCCATCGCAGCTTCTCAGGAAGGCCCGGCGCCTTGGTGCCCATCACCCCGGGCCTGGGGGCAGAGCCCAGCAGGGCCAAGATGACGAGAGCCCTCGAAGTCAGAGCTGCCCCAGTCTCACGGCAGACTCAGAACCAGCCCCATCCCGGCACGGCCGGGCCAGCCCAGGGACCCCTGCCGGGCCGGGGCACCGCCCCCCCCACTCAGCGCACAGCTCAGACCCATGCACACGGGGAGGCGGCCAGGGCTCTGCATTCCCGTCTGGACGCCGTCTAATCCAAGGCTGTGGGGGAGGACCGCACCCTGAGGGTTTAGCAGGGCCAGTGGCAGGAAGAGCAGAGAAATAAAGCCACAGCACTGCCTTCTCACCACGCTTCTGGTCTCAAAGTGACGAAGGGCGTGAGCCTGCCCTGCTGGCTGCACAGCTGGATTAAAGCCCCCTGGGACCACCCAGGGCAGGGCGGGGGGCTGCGGGTCCGCTGAGGCCTGGTGGACAGAGGCCCTGGGGCTCCGGGCTGCAGCTGCAGCGGCAGAGGAAGGCCAAGAGCTCCAGGCGCCTGAGCGAGTCAGTGACCAGAACCCACGAGGAGCCCAGCGCGGGGTGCGGGCAGACACCAGACTTGGGGGGGTGGGGGGGAGCCCTGAGTCGGAGACCCAGATTCACAGCTTCCGCTGCAGGACCACGGGCGAGCCTCAGTCTACCCCCACCCATGACTCGGGGAGGTGGAGCCCTGTCCTGCCGAGCACCCAGGCCTGTCCCTGGGTGACGGACCTGCGTGTGTCCAGAAACCATAAGGCACACCGCGGCTCTGGGACCAGCACTGCTGCTCAGCTGTCTGAACAGCCGTCGTGTGGGCTCGGAGCATATGGAGCCTCACCCACCTCCGCAGGGACAGGCGCTCGGGGACGCCGCAGCCCCGCCCCCCGCCCCCCCCCATCCCGCCCAACTGGGAGACTGGAGCTGCTCCCCACAGTGATCGGCCAGAGCCGAACGCCCTGCCTGAGACAAGCGGCATCGCCTGCTGCTGCAGCCCGAAGTGACCCCGGCCACCCGGCCCGGGCCAGCAAGTGCCCCCCACAGAGCACGGCCACAGGGCGGCTGGCCACGCACCAGGGCACCGCGAACCAAGTTCTCGCAGAAGAGCCCAACAACCTCATACCCTGAAGCCCACACAGGGGTGCCTGGAGCTCCCCCAGAGTCACTGGGGACACTCTGGCTGATGCGGTGTCCTTAAACACGCTCCCCCGGGGCCCAGGACGGGAAACCGCTCAGGTGCCTGCTGCCGGAGGCCTGGGAGCCCTTCCTGGGGAATCAGCCTGCACGCAGGAGCCCGCCCTCCAGAGGGAGGGAGAGTGGCTCTCCGGGAGAAGGTTCTGCTGCGGGAGCAGGACCTCCTGCCCCACCCGCCGCCCAGCCTGAGGGGTCAGGAACCCGGGGACCTCTCCGCAGAACCCTCCTCTCTCCTCGAGTGCTGGCGTCATGCCCTCCTGGCCACCCTTTGCACGAGACCCCACACTCCTCCACCCCAGCTCTGCCGTTCCCCCCCGCCACCCCGCCCTGCCCTGCAGACCTTCTCCTCCATGGCCCCTCAGCCACAGGGACCCAGGATGTGGCCCCGCCCCTGTTCACGCCCTCGGCCCCTGGGCTGCCCCGCCCCACCCCACCCCACCCTGACGCCCGGCCCTCACCCAGACACCGGACACAGACGCCCACCCACCAGTCCCACAGGCTCTCGGCTTCCCTGCCAGGCTGCCCTCAGCACTGCCGTCCTGGTACGCTCCCCATCCCCCGGCTCGAGGGACGGGCCGGTCCCGGGCCCGGGCCCGGCCACTCTGCCTGCGTCTTTGGAACCTGGGCCGGAGCTTGGCCTCCAAGGCCCTCCCCCGTGGGTCCCGCCAACACCAGGCCAAGTTCATGACCCGTCAGAGGGGGGCCGGGCCCTCCCACCACACGCCCCGGCACCATACTGTGAGCCTCAGAAACCCACGGAGAAGGCCCTGTTGCCAATCCCTCCGCAGATGGGGACCAGCCCGACCAGCCCCAGCCCTTCCTCCCGCCCCGCCCGCACTCCTCCTCGCCCACCCACCTCCCCCAGTCTCCAGTCCAAGCCTGGGCCAGAACAAAGGCCTCTGAGCCTGGGGGGCGGGGAGGGAGAGGCACCGTCTCTGACTAGCAGGCAGACCTGGGCAGCTCTGTTCCAGAAGTCTCTGAAAGAGACAGGTCAGCGACAGACCCCAGGGCTCCCCTGGAGAAAAGGCCTGGCCCGTGGCTGGCCTCTGCCACCTGGTGGGGGTGCGGGGTACTGCAGGCTGGCCTTGCCGGGACTCCAGGCCCCCTGACTCCAGACGGAGGCTGGGTGTCCTCCTCAGCCTCACCCCTGGGCAGCGCATCTGGCCCCCGCTTGGCGGCAGGCTCTGTCCAAGCCCTCCACACGGACCACTCCACTCAGCGTCCCGCCCACAGCCCTGCAAGGCAGGCCTGTCCCTGTCCCCGGAAGCCCGGGGGGTTGGGGGCCCCACCGGGAGCTGAAGCTGGCTGCAGTGCCCACCCTCCACCACCACGAGCTTTCCGGGACCATGGCTCCCCCCGCGTGCAAGGCCTGTCGCTCTGGTCACCCCAAGACAGTGCTGTCCTCAAGCCTCCAAGAACCGGCCAGGGGGGTCTCCTGGGGGCAGGGGGGGAGGGGCGCTGAACCCCAGGCCCCTCGCCTTGTTCGGACACGCCTTTCCCATTTCCAGGCGTGAACTTTAAGCTCCGCCCCAGGTCACCGACCCCAGTTCTCACAGCCAGCGCTGCCCCTTCTCGCCTCGGCCCGAGCCCACAGGCCCACCAGCCGGCACTGCCTCCCAGGTGCCCCCGGGGCCCCAGGCCCACACCGGGGACCCGCGGCGCTGCCGGTCACACCTGCTCAGACGCCCCAGCCCCTTCGGCTGCCACCTCCCCCAAACCCCTTGAGGTCTGCCCCTGCCACCCACCCACCTCGACTGCCCGAGGCCCTGCCTTCCCAGGGTTACAACTAAAGAAGGGGTGAGGCCCGGGGCTGGCCCCCGAACCCAGACCGGGCTGAACTGACCCTCCTTACGGCTCACAGCCCCACATCTGTGGGGGACACCGTGGGACCCCAGGCAGCCAGTGTCCCGCCAACACTGACCTCTTTCAACAGACCTGGCCCCTTCACGGGTCAAGGGTGCCACCATGGACCCGGAGGGCAGAGCCCCCATTGCAGGGGGAGGCCAGTGGCACGGGCGGCCCCAGAGGGGCGCTTCCCGAGGGGAGCCCTGGCCAGTGGCCCGTGGAGGGCTCCGCCTGTGGCCGGGCTGTGACTCCTAAGTGGGCACAGAGGGCGTGGTGGGCGCCGGGTACACGGAGGCTTCACTCGGGAGAGCCACGCCTCAGACTGCAGCCCCAGGAGACCCCACCCGCCCTGGGGTTCCCCCCCGCCCGCAGGGCTGTCCTCAGGCCCCCGTGAGCCCCCAGTGATGAGCCGGACGCCGGCAGCCTGGGTCCAGGTGGCTGCTCGCGGACACTCACGCTGGTAATGCTGCAGCAGCCGGTGAGTCCGCACGTCCCATAGCTTCACCGTGTTGTCCATGCCGGCGGCGGCGATGCACGTGCCGCTGGGGTGGAAGTCCACGCAGGTGACGAAGCTGCAGAGACGAGGCCGCCCGGGCTCAGGAACTCTGCACCGGCTCAGAGCAGACACCCAACACCCGGCACTGTCCCGCCCCACACCTGGCCCCGCTGTCCCCAAACGCCCCCTCCCTCCCTGTCTCTGCAGGAGTGGGCGGCAGCAGCAGTGGCTGCAGTGACCTGAGCTGGGCTCACCAGAAAGCGTCGCCTGCTGCACACAGGGACGGGGGACGGGAACCAGTCCTCAGGCCGAGGGCCAGCCGGCTGCTCGGGCCTGTAGGGTCCCTGCCCGACCCAAGGGCCCTCACCGCCCCCCCCCACCGCCCCGCGGGGCCTCCAGGCTGGTGTCATGGCCAGTTCTCAGGCGGGGCCCCGGCAGCAGGGGCAGAGACGGGGCTCATTTGGGGACCCAGGGCAGGTGAGGCCCCGCGCAGACGCAGGCCCCTCCCTCTCCTGATGACTGGGCAGCGTAAACAGCCGCCGTCCGCTGCGGGGCCGAGAGGACCCTTCTGCTGGCAGAGCCCCCAGCGCAGAGGACACAGCCAGGTGCCTTCTGGGATCTGGGCGCAACCGCCAGACTGACACGTCACAGCCCCGAGAGCCAGAGGGTGAAGGGAGGGGGTGCCCCGAGGACGACCCGCCTGGAGGCTGCCAGGGAAGAGGCTGAAGCTTCCAGCCACACAGGAGAGGGGGGACCCGGGGCAGCAGCGCCGTGGCTGCCGGCCCCGCAGGCAGAGCAGGGCCCAGGGACTCACCCGCCGTGCTCGCAGTACGAGTGCACGCACTCCCGGCTGGTCTTGTCCCACAGCTTCACGGTCTTGTCGTCGCTGGCGGACACGATGAGCCGCCCGTCGGGGGAGAACCTGTGTCGGGCCGGGCACCAGTCGCACGGTGGGCTGGCAGGCGTCACGGGCGCCACACGCCACCTCGCACGGCACCTGCCTGCTGTGCCCACTGCCAGGCCCCGGGGACCGGTGGGGCTACACACCCTGCTCCGACCCGGCGACCCTGTGAGCTGCGGCAGGCACAGCAGGCCCCCGCCACCGCACGCAGCACGCAGTGGTGCTCTCGCTGGCCGCTGGCGCTGCTTGGCATCAAGGTCAGAGTGGGTCAGCAGCACACAGCTCCCATCAGAGTGGGGGCCCTGGGGCCCCGCCAAAGGCCAGTGCAGACCTGACCCCTGTCTGCTGGCCTGGCCCCTCCCGTTCTCAGAAGCCCGATGGGGAGGCCTCTCCGAGCCCTGAGTCCCCTCAGGACAACGGAACGGGTGCTCTGGAGAACAAGCAACCTGCACGGGGTCCCCAGAACAAAGCCACAGTCCCCGACCCCAGGTTCCACGGGGTCCAGGGTCCCCAGACTCCTCCAAACTCTCCCACCGGAGAGAGACTCCACAGGCGAGGTCTCTGTCGAGAGGACAGAGACGGGGGCAGCAGGCGGACCTGTGTCTGCGACTCCGGGACCTGGGAGGCCCTTTGCATCAGCCTGTCCCATGGCACTGCCCCCGTCCGGCGGCTCTGCAGCCAAAGTGACCCGGGGCAGAACGCCCCCAGGAGAGAGAGCGGGCAGGCCTCAGCGCCAGAGCCTCGGGTCCAGCCCCGGCTCTGCCGCTTGCCCACCACATGCCCGGGGGCAAGGTCCCGCCCCGTGTGCCGCAGGATAACTGATGGGTCACGCAGCCACTCATGACATCAGAGCTGTCCCTGCACCCTCCCACCGGCCAGCAGAGGGGTGCGGCTCGGGACGTGGAGGAGTGGCGTCTCCCCCGGCCGCGGTGCCGGCCCCCCGCAGCCCTCTGCTGCCCCAGCCCGGGCTCCCCGAGGGCCTGGGGCGGACGCGCACCTGGCGCAGCGGACCCAGTTGATGTGCTGGCTCAGCGAGAACAGGAACTTCTGGCGGTGAGTCGACCACACCTTGACCGTCTTGTCATCGGAGGCCGTCACGAGGGACTGGCCGTCGCTGCAGAAGTGCACGCTCCTCACGGTGGCCGTGTGGGCTCGGAACACAGTCGACTCGCCTTTGCTGTGGGGGCAGGCACCCGGAGTCGGCGGCACCCTCCCACGCCCACCCGAATACCCGAGAACCCCAGGAGCAGGGCCCCGGCCACCGGGTGCTGGCAAAAGCAGGCGCCCCCCACCCCAAAACAGGACTGGGGTCCACCCCGAGTTCCCCTCCTGAGCCTGATGGGGGGGTTCCTAGCTGAAGCCTCAGCTTCTGATGGCACCTCCTTGGGAGGGGGAAGATGCCCCCCCCCGTGGCCGGTCCAGAGCCAGGGTGGGGACAGTGCTGGCACCAGGGCCTCGGACTCAGGCAGGGCCCTCCCAGTCTGCGACTCACACGTTGGGCACCCAGATGCGGACCGTCTTGTCCCGAGAACCCGAGGCAAGCAGGTGTCCGGAAGGGGAGAAGTTCACGGAGGTGACGGCGTCCTTGTGGCCCGTGAAGCGGTAGGCACGTGACTGGGGCTTCATGTGCCAGACCATGAGGCACGCGTCCATGGAGCCGCTGGCTGAGGGGCACAGGGACCCTGAGACCCTGGCTCTGGCAGGCCTCAGGCCTCCACCGGGACTCCGGGGTGACCGTGAAGCGGGGAGCGGCAGCCCCGGTCCCCACGGGCACCAGCCACACCGCTGGCGAACGCTGACCAGGAGTCTGGAGCAGGCCCAGGTGGGGACCGGACCAAGAGATGCCCTTCGTGGCCAGCCCTGAGCTGCAACCCAGGGGGCCTCAGGGAAGACTCGACCCCCGTGGGGTGGCTCCCAGGTCCCCCAAACACCCCTGAGGCACTGCAGAGCAGGGCCTCCCAGCCCTGGGGCGCGAGCCCGGCCCACTGGGCCTTTCACCCCCCAGGAGCCCAGAGGAGGTCCCCAACAGGGGCCAAAAATGATTTGTTTCCTGTTAATCCTATGGGACTACAAGGCCAGCAGCCCCGGCAGGAGACCTTGACCATAAGATGAAGGGGGAATCCTGCCCACGGAAACCAGGAAGCGCAGCCGTGACCACCCCCCCACCCCGCCGCCCCCAAGCAGCCAGGTTGAGGGGTACCGGGGGCACAACTGCAGCACAAGGACAGCGGGGGAGGGAGGAGGGCACTATTCCACACCCTTCTCCTGGTGGGCATCTCCAGCTAGGCGTGCCCACACTGCTGCGGACGACAGACTCCACGGAGACCCAAGGACAGGACCCAAGAGTGGGCTGGGTGTTCAGGGAGAACCCCGGAACCCGGTCCCCCCCTTAGAGGCAGTGCTGACTTTGGAAGCCCCCGACCACTCTGCCCCCCACCCTCCTTGCACGCAGAAGGGAGCTCGGGAGCCGGGAGCAAGAGGCAGGTCTGGGCAGAGCACGTGGGTCCTCACGCATCCTGTGCCCACCCGTGCCCCCCTCCCAGGTGGGGACTGGCCTTCCCGGCTCATAACCCGGCACCCAGGACAAGGTGTCCCCTCTTACCCAGTTGCTTCGAGTTGAGATTGAAGTCCACACAGGTGACTCCATCCCGGTGTCCCTTAAAATGCCTCTCCAGCGAGGGGTCCTCCTGGGGAGAGCGGGGTCGAGAGTGTGGCAGCCGGGAGAGAAGAGGCTGTCCCAGGGCTGAGCCTGTCCCCGTGACGGCCGGGGGTTGGGGGACTTAGGCCTGGCGCCCTAAAGGACCGGGAGAACTGCACACAAGTTCAGCAAGGGTATGTGATACATTGCCGACATACAAAAGTCAATCGTTTTGATACCCTTTTAAAGATTTATTTTTAGAGAGAAGAGAAGGAAGGGAGAAACCTCAATGCGTAAGAGCTACAGTGATTGGTTGCCTCTCACAGGCCCCCAACTGGGAACCTAGCCTGGCAACCCAGGCATGTGCCCTGACTGGGAATTGAACCGGCAACCCTTTGGTTCCCGGGCCAGCACTCAGTCCACTGAGCCACCCCAGCCGGGGCTGTTTTAATATTTTTGTACACCAGCAAGGAACGACCTGAAAAAAGCAAGGTAACAATTCCATTTATGATATATTTTTTAAAAATGTAACATGCAGATAACTTCACAAAAGAAGTACAAAATGTACCCAGTGAAAACTATATTGTTGAAAGAAATTTAGGAAGAACTAGTTAAATGGAAAGACATCCCATCTGCATGGACCAGAAAAACTAATACTTCTAAGGTGCAATACTCCCCAAATTGTTCTACACACCAACCTAGTCCCTAAGAAAATCCCAGGTGCCTTTTTTGGGGGCGGAAATTGACAAGCTGACCCTAAAACTCATATGAAAATGGGAGACAGCCGGAATAAACAAAATCGTTTTTTAAAAACCTTTAAAAAAAGAAAAAGAAAAACCAGCCCCTGTAGAAAACAGCTTGGCAGTTCCTCAAAAACTTGAAACAGAGTTTTTATCAAATGATCCAGCAGTTCAAAGCCAACCCCTGAAAGAACCGAAAACGTGTTCAAAGACCAGTGTGCGAGGGTCATGGCCTAAGACAGAAAGTGGAAGGGCCGGGCGCCCCCCGAGGTGAATGGATCAACAACAGGTGGCCCGCCCACGTGATGAGCGGTATTTTTCAGCCCTGAAGGCCACGAAGCTCCGGCACACGCCACAACACGGATGAACCCCGAAAACACATCCCTAGTGAAAGAAGCCAGTGCAAAGGGCCACATTCTGTCTGATTCCATTGACACAAACACCCCAAACAGGCAAGTCTATAGGGACAGGACCCAGATCAGGGTTTGCCAGGAGCTGGGGGGGAGAGGGAGACAGGGAGGGCGGGCAGTGACCGCTCAGTGGGTGGGGGGGTTTCTCTGGGGTGACACGCTGTTCTGGAATTAGCCGGTGATGGCGGCTGCACAACATCACGAAGCCGTCACTAAAAATCACTGAATTTTATGTTTAAAGTGGTGAATTTTATGCTATGTGAATAACGTCTCAATAAAGTTATTTTTTAGCCGAAGGAGAGAAAATTGGGGTGTCCCAGCACCCCTCATTGCAGGAACCACACCCCACACGCTCAACCCCGCTATGGAATGGCCGGTGAACCTAAAGGTCCACCCCGGAGAGGCCCCCTGGTGGCAGCACCCCACCTAGCGAGGGAGAAGCCCGAGTTCACGACCCTGCTTAGGAGCTAATACTCCGGAGACTGTCCATCCAACAGCAGCTCCTGGCCAGCTCCTCCTGAACTTGAGGAATTCGATCCCGGGGTACAAACATCTCCCTCTGCCCGGAATATCAGACACCTCAAAGAAGCATTTGGGGTGCACCAGGGAGCCCACCAGGACCACTGCCAACCTACAGAGCTGTAGCCAAAACTAAGGTCCCCATGGCCCAGTGCCAGCCCCACTCCCAACACACCTGCCGAGTCTCCCTCGCAACCAGAGGGAGTGGCAGCTGGGGGACAGCCCCCAACAGAGCAGCAACCGCCTCACGCGCGTCTCTGGGAAGAACAAGAGTAAGGCAGTGCCCACGTCTAGGCTCAGTGGGCAGAGGCAAGTTTAGGTTCACCCCTGAAATCTCCCAACACCCTCTGCGCCAATCCCACGGGCCGTGTGGTTCTTCATCTCCCCCAAAGGTGGTTTACGTATTGGGGCCGGGGGAGTGTCTTGTGGAAAGAGCACTGCACTAGGGGTCAAAATGCCTGGGTCGTAGTCTGGGCCCTCGGCTCAACTCCTCAGATGCTTGCGGGGATAAAAAGGTCACCCCCCAGCCTCCCAGACTCTCCACCCAGGCAGAAAGCCAGGCACGTTGGAAACAACCTCCCAAAACAAGGGCTGCGGAGTGCTCCCCGGGACGCCCACTAGGTGCCCCGACCCAGCGCCCCTTGCACTAGGGCCGAGAGTTCGGGCTCGGAACCCGGAGTCCCACCCGCCGCCTCGCCACCCGCGGCCAGGTGGCCATAGTCCCGGGGGGAGACTAAGGCAGCACTTACCGGACAGGGCGCGGCCATGGTGGGGACCAGGGCGCCCAAGGCGCCGGAGGAGCCCGAGGTGGCAGCGGCTGCTGCCGTTACGGTGCGTTCAGTTTCCGCGCCCCTAATCGCCGCCAATAGCAACACCGGTCGCGTCCCCGCGCCCCGCCCACCGCAATTAAAGGAGACGCAGCGCCTCGGCTATTTGCTCCGCGACCGGAAGCAGAGCTATAGGGCCAGCTCCAAGGTGTCTGCTTCCACTTTTGCCAGGCCACGCAGCCTACGGATTGCGCACCTAAAGACCTCTGTCCACCGTCAGTCATCCTCCCTGAGAATTTAAAAAGCACTGGATGAGGGGTTCGCCCCACGCTTCCGTAGCCCCGTTACGGAGTCGGAGAGCACAGCCCTCTGGGAAATGCAGTTCCAAGAACGGCGCCACCTTGCGTCTGGGCGAAGCTGGAACTACATTTCCCAAGATGCCTTGAGGGAGGAATTGAGAGCCCGGGATTAACCACGGCGGCGAAAGTATTCAGAATCCCGGAAATAAATCTTATACTTTCCCTTAAAAGCACTCTGTAGGCCTTTCTTTTGCTGAGTACCTTATTAAGAGCTGATTGTTCGCCCTTCTGGAATTCTTTAAAGGGTTCGTCCCTCCAAACGCGCTTAAAACAGTGCCGATTCATAAAAACACCAGTCACCCTGACAGGTGTGTCTCAGTTGATTGTGCTTCGTCCGCTGCCCCGCAACCCGCCCCGCCCCGCCCCGCAAGCAAAGCGAGGGGTTTCTGGTTCCATTCTCGGTCAGGACACCCGGTTTGTGGAGTCCAGCCGCCTGCGAGAGGCAACTGAAAGATGTTTCCCTCCCGCATCGATGGTTTTTCCTTCCTCTCTTTCTGCCTCCCTTCCCCTCTCTCTAAAAATAAAATTAAAGATTTGTTTAAAAATAAAAATCTGAAAAACCACTAGTCCCTTGGAACCACAAGCGTGGAGCGGAGAGCTAGGTGCCGTTCTCAGTTCTCCTTTGTAAGTGACTTCTGGGAAAAATAGCCTTGCTCTGTGGGCCTCACTTTCCCCATTTGCAATACGAGGGAGTGTGGTGCAGCCCGACCCTCTCAGGAGTCTCCAGCCCTGCGAAGCCCTTGGAAATCAGTAACACGCCTGCACGGGAAGGAGGCAATCCAGGGGCCTGGCCACCAGAGGCCGTTGCTGCCCACTTTCTGCAGTGGGAAGGCCCGGCCTCTCCAGACCTTTCTGCTGGCGTCTCCCCAACCTGGAACGGACCTGGGCAGGGTGTTTTGCAAGATTCAGCCAACTTCAGTGGAGGAAAGAATGTCCAGCCTGTAAAAAAGTTTTTTTGAGTTTATTTGAGCCAAAATTTTGAGGACATGCCTGACAGCAAAATCTGATGGGATTGAGAAAATGCTCGGAGAATGGCAGTATTTGGCTCATTTTATCCACTAGAATCAACAAAGGAGTAAGGAGGGCTACGTGAAACCCACAGGTGGTAGGTTGAAGAAGCAGGAGAAAGCAAAGTGGGGAAGTCTCTAGGACTGGATACAAAGCAAGACAGAGAAACACTTCTTTCACACTGGTGGGGGCAGGATGGTTACATTAACTGTCACAGTAAGCAGAGATGGCCTGCAGGCAACCAGATGACAGTGAGGGTGGTCCTGTGCTCTGGGACCTGCACGTGTGCCTCCCAGAGGTCTAGAAAAGAAAAGTACTTGACATTTCCAAGGGATGCTGCCCTGGATGCGTCAGAACGATAAACAGGCTCCCCAAGGTCAAGCTCTGCCCCGCTCAGGAAGCTGCAGGCCTGGGACGTGACGACCTGCCACGGCCTGCCCATTTGGGAATTCATGATCAGACCAGCCTGTGTGGTTACTTTTAGTCACTGAACTTGTCGGGGACTTCCAGGGGCCCCCCTGGATAGCTTGTTGGGTTTATGACACAGCCCTTTCGTTATTTACTCCTCCATCATCCCCCCTGGGCAGGCTGGCTTGGCCCCACCCGGACACTGGTTACAGTCTAGCCAGGCCCTGAGGTTTCTAACTACATCTGAGACCTAAGATGTAACGGGGGGGGGTGCCTGCAAACCGGAGCCTGATTCGAGAAGCTCAGAAACGCTCGCTCCCGGAGCTGGAACGTGGTGGGGAAGAGGTCTCTCTTTCGGACCTCGAAGGTCTAGGGCCGGACGCAGGATGCAGAGCTACCCCTTGTCCAGTCTTGTCCACTGTGATCTGGCATACAGTTGGTTCCTTCATGTGAGAAACGGTCAGGCTCATTTAACGTAGGTACTGGGAAATGCTCCTTAGAACAAGTGTAGTGTCACACCCTGAAGTTGCTCCGCCCTGTTGATGTTCAAGCCAGGCAACACCGGTGGTCCGCAGGAGCTTGTCACTTAGAGAAACCCTTCCGTCAGAGGATCCCCCAGCGTCAGGCGTGCTCGCGGTGAGGGGCGCTGGAAGATCGCGCTCATCCTCCCCACGCTTCCCAGGTCCCACTCTCTCCCAGCCTTACTCATCAGGGAGGAAGAGCAGGGCTGCCTCGCCCTCTCTTGCTCATTCATTCTCCGAAGGAGTGCGATGGGCTGACGCCGCCCCATCACCCCGACAACCCAGGGTCCTCGGGCACAGCCTGCCCAAGCCAAGCTCGGCGCCTCCATGTTCAGACACAGCTGCCGCCACCCCACGTTCCCCCGTCAGCACGTACTCCATTTCTGACTAGGGCCTCCATACTGAGGGGGCTTAATGTGGGAGATGCCTCAATGGTGGGGGGACCTCCACGTTGAGGGGGTGGGGCTGGAAGACAGCTTCTTTTTCAAGCCCCTTTGTGGCAGGGATGTCTTTGTCCTGGGCCACAGTCCACAGGCAGGACCTGCTATGACAGCCCCCTCCCTGCCGCCACTCCCAGACCCCCCACCCACCCAAGGACCAACAGGGTGGGGCAGAGAGGGAAGGAAGAAAGGCAGGGGTTACGGCACCCGCATAGCCCAGCCCAACCTGTGCCTGGGAAACCGCATCAGCACTGTCGGTCTGCACTGCACCTGCCCGTGGCCAGGCGGCTCAGGCTGGCCCTGGGGGACCAGGCAGGTCCGCAGGGGGGTCCAGACCCTGGCCCCTCTGGGCTGGGCGACCAGGCAGGAGTCAGGCCACTTCTACAAGCCTCCGCGTCCTCAGTTGTAAGGCGGTCATCATGATCCTGCCCCAGCGGGGGAGGGAGGATTTCATGAGCTGTGACTTCATGTCAGGGCCTGAGACCCAGCTGCCACTTAACCCGCGTGGCTCCTTACTCGCCCTCAGTCACCTCACGCACCTCCTGGGCTCTGAGGCCCGGCCCCCACCTCTCTGCCTCTGCCCCCACCCCTCCCCCACCCCCGTCCACCCCGGCTCTCCCTGCTGCGGCCACGTTGGCCTTCCCACTGCTCTTCGAGCAAGAACGTGCCAGACACGCATCTCGGGATGTCATCTCAGGACTCCTGCACCGACTGTTGTCCCAGTGTCCTCTCAGCTCCACCCATTACGACCACCATCGGGACTTGGTTCGGACACCGGCCTCTCAGCACAGCCCACCCTGACCACCCTACCGGAAATGCCACCCTCCGTCCCCTTCCTGCTTTCTGGTCTTTTTTTTTTAACGGTGTATTCCATTTGTTTTAAAGACTTTATTTCTTGCCCTGGCTGGTGTGGCTCAATGGACTGAGTGCCGGCCTGTGAACTGAAAGGTCACCGGTTCGATTCCCAGTCAGGGCACGTGACTGGGTTTCAAGCCAGGTCCCCAGTAGGGGGCGCTCGAGAGGCAACCAATGGAAGTCTATCTCGCGGGTCAATGTTTCTCTCCCTCCTTTTTTCCCTCCCTTCCCCTCTCTCTAAAATAAACAAACATTGATGTGAGAGAGAAACATCAATCACTGCCTCTCAAACGTGCCCCGAACGGGGCCCAAACCCACACCCCAGGCACGTGCCCTGACCAGGAAAGAACTGGTGACCTTTCAGTTTGCAGGACCATGCCCTACCGCTGAGCCACACCAGCCAGGGCTCCCTGCTTTATTTTCCGCTGGCGACGTATCACCCTCTGACACCTTGGGCCTGCTGGTTCATTGTGTTCTCCCCTGAGAACGTCAGCTCTGGGGAGCAGATGCGACCACGCCGTGACACCCAGGACAGGGCCGGGACAGAGGGGGGCACAACACATATCTGCCGTATACACAAGTGACCCGTGACGGATTGCTCACAGGCTGTGGCAGAGCGTGTGATGGGCAGGACCGGCCCTCCGCGGGAGAGAAGGGGAAGGGATTAACCAGGAACAGCTTCTCCGTGGGAGCAGAGCGACCTGAACTCGGGAACACAATCAGGGTGTAAGCTGATCGGAGAGAAGGGGAAGGGCCGTTCCAGTGCAGGGAGCGGAGGGAGGTGAGGCTAGACCTTGGGGAAGAGTCTTGAGGAACTTGCGTGGCCACCCTTCAAGGCCAGGCAGGTCCAGGGTATTTGTGCAGACGGAAAAATATTCACAGAGCCGTGGGGATGTCCGGCGTGCCTTTATCCACGGGTGGGCGAGCCACGCACGCTGCGAGCTGCGTGTCTGTCTGCTTGCCTCGTGTCGTGGCCCCTGCTCCCCAGTGTGACACCCATCGTGACCCCTGTCCCCTTGCGTGTCTCTCGTCACCATCGCCCCCAGCAGGGAGTCCCTACCTGTTTAAATACTAGAGGGGAACAAAGCTGGAAAACCGCCAAAACATTACACAACATAATTCCGCGCCTGCGAACCTGCTTCATGTTATGGGAACAGTTTATCGGACCCAGCCTCAAGGCTGTGAGAACACTGGTTATCAGGCCCCTCCAGGGCTACGGGAACGCTGCTCCCCTTAGTCATGCAGACACCTGGGTGAGGAAGCCAGGCTGCCTCCACTTACCCTGCGGAGCTAAAGACTGGTGGACCCCCAGCAGGGAGGGAGGGGGTGGGGTCTCCCGTTCGGCTGTGTGTGTATGTGGGGGAGTGCTGGGGGTCCCACGGGGTGGAGCCGAGGAAGCAGGTGACAGATTGAGGGGGTCTGCTGGGGAGGGGGTGGGCTTGTGCACACCTGGGTTCTAATCGCAGGTGCAACACCAACTTGCTGCGTAACTGGGGGCGAGGGCTCACCCCACGGAGCCTCACTTCCTCGTGTAAAACGGAGATCCTGTGGGGGCCGCGACAGAAGCGAGGTGTATCAGCTTCCCGGGGCTGCCGTGCCAAAGCACCACAAACGGGCGGCTTCAATTTGTGCACGGCAGACGTTTCTTCACTCGCAGGGCTGGAGGCCAAAAGTCAGAGGTCAAGGTGTTGCTGGGGTCATTCCCCTTCCC